GATCTGGCTGTGTTGAGGAAGTAGACTCCATATCTCAAGAGAACTTGAGCGTTGGGTAGAAGAGCAGCACAATGTGATTTTGGGAGCGTGGGGAAACTCTAGTCTGGCAAGTTCCTAGCAGGTTCAGGCAGGGCCAAGAAGAATTGAAGGATGCATTGCGATTGTGATTTCGTCCTTTCTAGCTGCCGGCCCTAGGAAGGGAGATTTGCAAACATGTGTAGTTGTAGTCTTTGATTGAAGGTGTTAAACATGACACATGTCTTACAAGATCTACCGATTTTGCTAGCGGGCCCGTCTCATGGTCTTTGTTTGAGAGCAACCCCTGGCATTCTGTTGAACCAGAAACCAGGCCCCACGCCCAGTTCAGGCCCCATACGGCCTCATCCACAGAGAACATGGGTGCTCCTCCTTGATACCCGAAGGACACATATGGCATTCCATGATGAGCGAGGCCTCGTTGCTTGAAACACGGCGGAATACTTACTGAAAAGAGTCAGCGACTTTCTTCCCACATTTTTGACTCGGATGTAGACAATGTCCTGTAGTAGTCGTATCCACTGAAATTGAACATCGGCAAACATCGTCCAACTCTTTGAGGGCAAGTCCGAATGTAATGTGCCAAGTGCACAGTGCACATCTATGATTCTATGACATTGGTTGAGGAGTGTTTCCCAGTATCCATTTACCTCAACATGCAAGGACAAAAATTACAATCTTTCAGGAAGTTTCAAGATCTTCAAGTACTTGCTTTTTGTCAGCTCCAGTGCAAGTGAATCATTTGAGCGGCCAAACATTGGTATGATTCCTCTTCCTGAAATTAAATTACGCAAATAGTTCCGAATCACAACTAAGTGTGTTCTGAGGCTTCCGAACTTCCCGAAGCAGTTTCTAGTCTCTGCCGAAGGGCAGGAAAGGGTCTGCATGTGCGTGAGCTCCTGTCCGCCGTTCTGCGTTCCAGTGGACACAAAAGTGGCCGCTGGCTTCCCCGACAAGGACTGTTTCATCCAATGAGAGCCAGTCATGTCAAAGAATGCCTTCCTCAGATCCGCGACGTAGCTTGCTTACGAAGAAAAAAACATTCACCCACGCATATCCCAAAACCCAAAAGTCCAACACCATGAACTTACGTTGGACTAGTGAAGGTCGTCAAAACCTGGGTGTCCTGGGTTTCGTGCCGCATTGCCACTGCAAACAAAATAGAATGATAAAACCCGTTTGTTGTCAAAAGTGCCGCTTGATGTAAAACTGCCACTTGAAAAGTTAGAGTTCTGCAGTGCCACAATTAAACACAAAAAGAACTCATGTCGAACACCCATAAATATAGTTTACCTGTTGTTTTATCAAAGTACGTCCTTCTTCTATTCCAAAAATGTCCTTTGGAAGGACAAATACTAGGTTAATTTTGCTTACCTAGACAACCCTCCCCGACCCCTGCCAGTTGATTGAACGGCAGCAAATACCTACCTCAAAAACTCAGGTACATGATGTGTCATGACCTCTTACACCTGTTGGTAGCAACCTAACAGGCAACAACCATCGAACCATTGTACTCATCTCATGTACAATCCAGATCTACCGGACCAACAACATGACAAACTCAAACACTGAATAGACATCCAGGCTGCATCTGAGCAGACATCACACCGAAGCGTGTGGGGATGCCAAAGACAAAGCCATCATACTCCTGAGTGCAAACGACTTCAAATGGGTATGGCCAGCCCTTGCACCACGGAGCGTCCTGGTATTGGTGCGTCCTGGTGTTTCGGGCATCGCCTGGGGTGTTTCACCCCTCCTCGACGAAGCAGGTGTTCGAAGCGCACCAGCGGCCGATATGGCAAAGAATGGTAAGGCAATAGGAATACTACTAGGAATATGTAAAAAATATATGACCATGATTTGTGGTCTCCTGGGTCTCTTTCTATCCATCACCAAGGTGCATGATTTACCTTGACACACACTCCACACGTCGTTGTCCCTGGATCTTTGTGCTCACCGGATATCACGGGCATTCACGGGCCATTGCTTTGCTGTGTTTGGTATTGGCCCATCCTCACTCAACAGTCTGATGTGAAGAAACCATCGACAATCGCTGTTGAGGTCGTTCAAAGATACATCTACGACTGCTTAAGTCATGCACGACTGGTTAAGCCACGCGGGTCGCCATTGGCGACACCTCGCCATCGACCACTTGCGCAATCGCCAAGCTTCGAAGTGCACTCGTTCGTTGGTAAATCATGGTCAATCCGGAAACATCACTTGGCCAGTGAGGATTGACCAGTGTGGGGGCTATCACCATTGACCAAGTCAGATGAACAATTCACTTAGGCCAGTGTGGCCGACTGAAGACACCCAACGAGTAGCCCCACACACACACACACACAACTCCTGACTTGGCACAGTTTGGTATCTTCACCACTTGGGGTAGATCGTTCAAGTACAAGTATCGAAGCTGCGACTAGTTGTGAGCTCACCACAGGTTGGTTCTTCGCAAGTCCGACTTTCGAAAGGGAACCGTAAGTAATTCACGAAACTTCCAACTCCATTCAATTAGTCCAACAAAAACTATTATATGCCTGCCTGCCCTTAAACCTGTCTGCTTCACCGATCAGTGAATCAATGAAAACATCTTTTGGATTGAGAGCACCAAGTCAGTATTTCAATCAGAAACCAATGGCGCCTTCTTCTGCATCATGCAAGACATAAATATGGCTTCCTCCGAGCCCCCCAAGCAAGGCAAACGACGCACATGTGATC